GGGTCCCGTCCCCCCTCACCGCCGTCTGCTTCCTCCACAGCTGCTGGAGGGAAACTTTGCCCTCTTCTGCACCTACACCCTGGGCTTCCGCAACGAGTTCCAGAACATCCTCCTGGCCATCATGGTGCGTATGGCCCCGGCCTGGAGCCCACTGGGGCCAGGATGGGCTTCGTGAGTGCTGGGGGTCCTCTCAGGAGCAATGAGGGGGATGAGGGGATGGAGGCCATGGGGCTGCAATGAGCTGATGTGGGGATAGTGACCAAAGGTCTCCTGGGAGAAGGGGAGAGGGAGAAGGAGCTGCCAAATGTCCTGCAAAGTCTGGGTGGGTTGGTAGGAACAGGGAAGCCTTTGTTCCTGTGTGAAGGCGGCCAGAGACGGGGCAGACCAGGAGCCATGGGGGCCTTTTGTCCAGATCCTGCCACTTATCTCCCTTCCCCCCCGCCTTGAGAAAAGGATCTCAGTGTTTACTGCCAGGAAGATGGAGCAAAACAACTCCTTGAGAGCCCTTTCCAGCTTGTCCCATCTGTGGGAGCCCTTCCCATGCTCCCTGCTCAAAGGGGTGGAGAGGTCCAAGGTGCCAAGGTCCCAGGAGTCTGGCTCTTGGCCATGGGGTGTGCAGGCAGCGGTGAAGAGATCGGGGCCCTTCCCAGCACTGAGGATGGAGCTGGGTCCTCCCTGGTGTGGGCTGGTGGCTGGTACCTGCTGCGCCCCGAGGGTGCTGGTGCAGGAGGTGGCCCCACGTTCTTGCTCCAATTGCAGCTCCCCTTCCCAGGAGCGGAGGCAGGTGAGGAATGGGGTGAGGGCAGGAGCAGGAGCATGGCTGTGTGCCAGCCCCGGAGTGTGTGGAAATCAAAGCTGGAAATAGACCCCCCCACTGCAGTCCTGGTCCAGCTCTGGGGCAACAGCACAGGAGGGACGTGGAGCTGCTGGAGAGAGGCCAGAGGAGGCCCCGGAGCTGCTGCGAGGGCTGGAGCAGCTCTGCTCTGGAGCCAGGCTGAGAGAGCTGGGCTGGGGCAGCTGGAGAAGAGAAGGCTCCTCAAGGGGACACCTTAGAGCAGCTCCAGTGCCTAAAGGGGCTCCAGGAGACCTGGAGAGGGGCTTTGGACAAGGGATGTAGGGACAGGACAAGGGGAATGGCTTGAACCTGCCAGAGGGGAGACTGAGATGAGCTCTTGGGCAGAAGCACTTCCCTGTGAGGGTGCTGAGGCGCTGGCACAGGGTGCCCAGAGAAGCTGTGGCTGCCCCATCCCTGGCCGTGTTCACGGGCAGGGTGGCAACAGGGG